CATTTGTTGGTTTTAATAATTTTAGTGAGAAAATACTGGAAAAATCCACTGAATCAAATTCAACTCTAAATAATAGTGTTCAGCCAAGTGAAAAAAACTACCGTGTAATTTATTTTACTGAGTCACGAAAAACATCAAAAAGTGGCTGTATAAGATATTGAAAATAGACAGAAATTTTAAAAAAGGTTGATAGCTAAAATCGTGACCTATGAAAGACTTTGAAATTTAATAGACTATCAACAAATCAAAAAATAAAAATGCAAAGTAGTAATAAATATAAAACTTTTAAAGTCTTTGTTCAATTTTTTATGCATACAACAGATTGACGAACATGTTTTTTATTTGTATTCTATGATCATAACAGTAATAGTACTAGCGGTACGTAAATATTGCACGACTGAAATAAATAAAATTTTGTAAAGTCAGTCAGTATGTTCAAAACTTTTGTTATTCAACCATCTCACGTTTGACGTTTGAAGTATTCATTAGATTGAATGTAACAGACAAAAAATAGTGCTTAAACAAAAAAAAGCTTTTACATTGAACATTTGAGTGCCTGCAGAAAAATGAAGATTTCACTATGTTACGAAGCACTCGCCGGAGTTCACAAAATTTTCAATTGACAGATTTTTACATTCGTCACTATCATTGTTATGGTCAGTATTACTGGTATCATTAACTGAAGTTTTTTCAAACTGGTCATCCTTTATTACTGTTTATTAATTAACTAATATATTTATAGTTATGACTATTATTATTATTATTATTATTATTATTATTATTATTAATTATTATTAATCAATTTATTATTGCCTGTATTAACGCTACTATTGTAATGACTACTACCAAGATTAAAAACATTAATTAAAATTTCTAATCAAAGAGCTTGCATAATAAGAAGTACTCTGTCAATTATGAACACTTTGAATCCTCCTTTTACAGTATTTGGTAAAATCGATATCAATGTAATTACCTCTAAAGAGTAAAATGTGAGTACTAATTTCAAGTAATTATATTGATTGAACTTAATTTACAAAACTGATTATTGTAGTACAAGTTATTTGGATGATTTAAATTATTTCAATAAATATATACTTTCTAACTATATATTCGCTTGTCAGTGGATAGAAAATAATTTTCAAAATTGACACAAATTTTTGGAAATGTTAAAAATGGTGCGAAGTAATTAATTCCGACTGTTCTGCTCACTACTACTCGTTCCCTCTGTGCTATTGCTGCAACGCATTCATAGCACAAGCTTACTTACCTTCCTTCTCAATCTGGCTTAGCACGTCAACGCGTATTGATTGTGAATGAAAGAGTAGTGAAATGTGAGGAAGTAACCAAAAGTGAAAACAAAGTAAGAAAAAGAAAGAAGAAGCAAACATAGCTTCCCTCAATAATTCCGTTAACTTTACTTGCCTTAACCATTCAAGCTGTTACTGAAGAAGCCTGAAGTGAGTATTGACTAAGGGTAATGCTTTTTGTGGTAATGATGCATTTGAGTCTCTTCTTAATAACCGTCTCATTTGAACAGTGCAGCTGGAAATGTGTTCGCAACAAATACCTAAAATCCTTTTCAGGAAACCTGTTAGATATTTTTTTTTAAATCCAGGTGCATTGATTCATTTCGGAAAATACTGAATGATAGTATCATAGTGGGATAAAGCTGATAATGACAACAACAATAAATTTTTTGTAGTAGTCAGAAATGAGAGTGCAGCATAATCAATGCCCATAACAATGATACTAATAACCTCAATATCACTGTTTGTTGAAATCAATGATAGTAGTCAAGTCTACTTCTATCTGCAAAAATCAGTTGCTTGCTACAATTTTTGAATAATATCATATGCATGAAACATTATTAACCGACCAATTTACTTAGGTATTAGTGAAATTGGAGTGCAGCGAATGGCAAAGTTGCATTTATTAGTTAAAATATATTCTGATATCTGTTTCCATAATGTATCTCGCTTATACTTGACTATATTTTCATCATTTATATCGTTTGTTGTTGACAGCCCAAGTAAGTACTTTGATATCATTGACACCTAACAGCGTACTTTATCTTGTCATTTGTTTCATATCTTATCTCATTCGTATCATTAATTAGTTCATGTCTGTAATTATAAACATTTAGATATGCATAACGTGTATTCATGTGTTTATAAATATATCTCATATACGTTTAAATCAAATTGTTTGAAGTTAGCATTATTAAAAGCACTGTGCTTTGTCTCAAAAAACACTACTCTGTTTGCAAGAATGAAATTATACATTAAAAATTTGTATTTTGAGTGGATATTCTTATAAAATGATGTAAATAATAAGTCTCTAGCAAATTTTTAAAAAACTGATCTAGTGATTTCTATTAGTTGGATTATAATTTTACGTACATGATGGAAGTAAAAATATGAATAAAAAATAGAAATTAAAAAGTTAAGATTGGCAATAGAAACATAGATGTCAGAAAAAGAACGTGAAGCTATGCGTGAACCTGAGGATTCACTGTTCTCACATGAACAACTTCATGATGATTATGATGCAACACCTTGGTGGCAACGGTAAAGTATCTTTCTTATTCAAATTTCACACTCAAAATTTGCTTTCTTTAAATATAATTGCAATTTTGCGAACATTACAGCAAGTATTTAGAAATCACACTTTTTTTTAAGTTTGCATAATTTCATTCAATCACTTTTTAATGTTACTTTTTGATTGAAATCAAACTTGCTGACTGATACTTACGTAATTGACCAATTTAATGAAAATATGCAAAATATTAGATTAATTGAAATGAAAAAAGTGCTTAAAACTTGCAGAAATTTCTTAATCAGTCGACCAGTACTGTTTGGAACATGGGATGGTGTATTCACTACTGTTTTAGTCAATATCTTTGGCGTTATTGTATTCTTGCGAATGGGATGGATTGTGGTGAGCACTTTTCAGTGTTGATTAATGAGATTAAGTTTTATGAGTATACTTCTTTTAAAGGCTTTGCTAACTGCTTTTTTATAACAAAAAAAATTTTTTTACAGGGAACCGCAGGAATTGCAAATGCAGTCTTATTACTCATTATTTGTGCATCTCTCGCATTGGTATCTGTCTTCTCAGCGATTGGAATATGTGAAAGATGTCAAATTCAGAGTGGAGGAATATATTTTTTGGTTTCACACGTTCTTGGGGGTCAAATTGGAGGAGCCGTTGGTTTAATGTATGCCTTTGGACAGGTATATCATTACATAATTAATAATAACTACCGTTTTGTTGAATAATTTATGTTAATATTATTGTAAATTTTAAATGAACTAGTAATGTCTTCGAAATTTGCTTCCTGCATTCATTAGTGATTAGTGAAAATGCATTCATTCATTAGTGATGATGGTTTTTGTTGACTCGGTATTTCTTAATTAACAGTTTAGCAAAGAAACTAATGTATAATATCAGTTATGTATGCAGTAATCAGTTTGATTTCTTCTGAAAATTCCAGTCCGTTTATGACTAACAAAATGTATCTTTATAAACTAGTAGTGCGTTATCAATGAATGAGATTTGGAGTGCTGTCAGTCAGCAAATGAGTAAACGATTAATTAGATATTGCTATATATTTTATAAAAAAATTTTTACGATTGAGTTCATAATTTGATTGTTGTTGGATAAGGTATTCAATAAATGAATTATAAAAAGACAAAAATTGATTAAATGATATGAAGACTGAGTAATATAACTGTTGAGTTGAGTTATTGAATAACTGTAAACTACAATTTATTAACAGCAACTAGTGATAAAATAAATGCAAAGATAGGTGCAATTAATAGTAATTAGTGATAGACTAAGTGTACTGTAGTTTAGAGTTCTCATACGTTATTTCATATAACTTTACTTGTAGTCAGTTGCGACTGGATTAGTTGTGATCGGTTTTGGGGAAAGCGTTGCTCGATTTTTTGGCACTGAAAGTACACTTCTTGATAAGTTTATTGCCATAACAACACTACTTGTGTTAGCAGGTTGAATTCAGAACAATCATTATTTTAGTACTTTTGAAAAAAATAAATCGTTAAAAAATAATTAGTGGTTATATATCAGAATGGATCATTACAAGTTTCCAATAAATAATGTTTGAGCGGCAATGACTGCAAATATAGCCTTATTTATTCATTTACTTTTAGATTTATAACTTTTTGTCTGCAGTTTATCAAATTTTTAGTTATCGTTCATTAATTATAATTAATTTTCCTTTGCTTCATTGATTTGTGTTTTAAATCCTTCCATATTTTTTAATTAGATAGTTAACTTATTTTTCACGTACAGAAGGACAAACTGAAAACTATGAAGTTCAGGTAAACCAGAACTGTTGTTACTTTCACATTTTTTTATATTCACGATTTCTAACTAAAAGTTATCATTTTTTAAATAAATTCATCCAATTGCTAAATGGATATGAATATATTATACTAAATACTTTTAATAAAACAAAATTTAGTTATCAATATGGCTGGTATACGGTGGGTTATCGGATTGCAACTTATACTGCTAGCGTTTCTGGCAATTGCAGTTGTTGACTTTTATTTTGGATCAATTTTTAGCATTGATCTGAGTTAGCAATATTAATTTACATCACTTTGAAACAAATGTCACTTTTTGTCCGATGGTTCAGGCTAGAACTCTGTGCAAATATGTATTAAATTTTAATGGAATAAATAAATTATATTACAGTCTTCTACTTTAATTTAGTTTAAGCTATATATAATATTATGTAGAATATATGATACGCACACATTACTGGATATTAATATCATGAGTGAAACTGAATTCATACTCATATTTGCATCATTATCATTTAATCCGGTCTCAGGAGTTACTATGTAGTACTCAAATATCTTACCATTTAAAAAATTAAAGCCATAATAATGCGTTCAGTAATGAAATGGTAATATAAAGAGATACACGAGTTTTTTATCAGCATTATTATTTTATTTTATTTGATGGTTGCCATGTATAGAAATGATAACCTTAATTCTTAACTTAAAAAAGAAAACATCACAATTCATGGAAATTTCATATTTGTAAATAATAGATTTTTATTTTTAAATAATTTTTCCCTCTATATCATTCATAGCCGAGAATAAAAGTCGTGTAATGAATACAGTGCTCAATAATCTTAGTACAGCTATCGTTTCGTGTGCTAAAAAATTACAACGTATTTATCTGGCTTTTGAATTTATAAATACTTTACACTTGTTCTTGTAAAATTCAAATTTAAGTCTTCAGATCATGGAGTTGGATATTTCTCATTGGAACGATTTGATCTTAATACAAATCCAATGTATGATGAATTCAACTGTTCACAGTTTGGCTTCGATGGACAACAAGCCTCTCAAAATTTTTTCACCGTTTTTGGTGTTTTTTTTGCAAACTTCCTTGGAGTATTAGCAGGTTACTTTAAATTTCCATCCTTATGTCATTTTTGTAAACTTCTATTGTTACTAATTGTCAATTTTGTTCATTTCTCTGTTCGATCTCTGTACTCATTATACTTTATATTTATCGCATTTTAACCATGCAATATTTACCATCAAATATTATGGAACTGGTTTTTAAATGGTAACTAAAATTAACACATTTATTGTCGGGTAAGGAAGTAACTGTATGGCCTAATTTTCAATTGAAAGAAGTGATATTTTAGTCATATTTTCTTACAAGCTCTGCGAAGATTAAATTGTTGAATTTAAAATTAGCTAACAGATTATTTCTGTTTTTGTACAGAAAATGCTGTACTCTACATTTACTGAAATTTAATAAATGTTAAACCTAAATTTTTACATGGGTCAACATGAGCGACGATTTAAGAAATCCCCAAGTAAGTATACCTGTAGGCGAGTTATCTGCGATTGGCATAAGGTAAATTTAATTTGATCTAACTTTTAGTTTCTCTTCTTATCTAAATATACGTAAACTTTTTAAATCAAATTCAACTTTGAAATTTGCTTTTCCTAATCAGTTTCACTTCAAGAATAACCGAGATTTTTTCTCAAACTTTTTTGTTGTGATCTTTTAGCAGATATTTATCAACATCGCAGATATTTATCAAGTTGAAATTCAAAAAAATGTTAATTGCTTTAATAGTCTTATGATGTTAACACTTTTCTTCATATTATTAAAGACATATGTGAAAATTTTTTGTCACTTTTGATAAAGTCACACAGTTTGTTAAATAAAAATCAAATTATCATGATCACTTTAGAGTGCAATTTCGACGCATTTTTGAGTAGATTTGATTCAAGACGTTTTTTCATTTAACTAGTTATTTCATGAATGAAATCAATCTCGTCCAGTAGTTCATTTGTTAGCTTAGTCAGTAGCCGTTAACATGATGTATCCGGTCTAGCAGTAAGGCATTTGAGAGTAGTTTATAAATCTTTAATGAGTAACTTATTGCAATTCGCAATTATACACTACATGAATTCAATCAGTCATTGTCCTTGATTCAGTTCAGTAATAACGTTATCATTCATTCTACTACTTGGTTCGCTAGTTGATCGAACTTATCTAATTTGCGACTCAATGATCGCGGAAAAAGTTGCTTTTACTGGATTTTTATTTCTTACTGGGCTCTATGTTTCCTCGTTGAGTTCTACAGTTGGTACATTACTTGGAACACCACGTGTGATTCAAAATATCGCTTCAGAAGGGATTATTCCAATTTTGAATCCGTTATCAGTAGGAGTACGTCACTTTTTGTAATAACTAAAATTTTATTTATTCTAATTAGTAATAACTTTTCATACAGTGAGGAAGTGTCGCGTAAACAGTTTTCATTTTCTTTTAAATCTTCATTGTGATTCTCCATTAATGATAGCATTCAAAAGAAGGTGACCCATACAAATGAAATTTCAAGTTGAATTGAAATTATTTCTGGCAAGATTCCAGAAATATCAAAACTATAAATAAATATATTGAATATTAGAAATAAATGTGATTCATCATAGCTAACATCAAAGTTCATAATATTTTAACCTCATAGTTTAATTCCTGATTTCAGTCATTTTGAATCATGATTACACTAATGTTAAGTTACTGAAGAAAAATTGACGAATGATGATCTTAATTCTGAAATACAAACGATGTTTGCTTGAAATGCTTCTAGCAATAAGTATTGGAAGAAGTGAGAATAGTCATAGTAGCTTGAGATCTCACCTATTTTTTCATTTTTGTGCTATTTACAATATTTCAGTACGGCCCAAATAAAAATCCTTTACGAGCCAGCATGGTTATGATAATCATAGCGATTGTTTTTGTTTTGCTCGGCGACCTGAATCATCTCGCAATTCTCTCAACTATGCCATTCCTGATTACGTATGCATTCGTAAACTATTCTTACGTCTCACTTGCGATGAGCTATGATTTACAAACTGTTACTAAAGTCAGGTAAATTGCTTGTTAATGTTATTCTTCGACTGTATGCTGATTACACCGACTTGCTTTATTTTCCATTTCTTCTTTGCATTAAATTTCATCTTTTTATATAACTTATTATCTTATATTGTAAAACTGGTAACTGAGTTTTTCATTTGCTGCTCTTTTCTTTGGGCTGTCTTTTTTAGTGCTTCAACAAAAACATTAACTTATGGTAGCATTGAAAATTTTAAAAGTGCAAAAAGAAGTCAAGAAAGTGGTGATTTGGAAAATTTATTTCCGGAAAGAGTCTGTCACAGTTCAACACCACCTGATGGTTTGTTCAAATTACTGAGTCTAGCAATGAACTAAACTTGCAAAGAATAAACTGTAATAGACAGTCATTTTCGCTTACTTATTTTTAACTTTCTGAATAAGTTTCTCAGAACATTTGTTAGAATTACGTCCATAAAGTTTTTATAATCTTCTTACAGAAATTTAGCATAATTTTAATTTGGACGTCGCAATTTTCAAGCATGAACTTTTAATAACTTTGAAAGTTTTAGGTGAAAAGCCAAGTTCCATAATTGATCGACCCATAACATGGTATTCTAGTTTAAGTAATCGTTACATATCATTAGTTGGGGTTTGTTTTAATAAATTTGCACACTTAAAATTAATATAAAAATTTCATATAACTTTAAAAAGCATGTCCAGATGATAACACCAGACTGGGTATTGTTCTTTTACTTAATTTTGTCCTTTATGTTAATTTCAGGCTATCACAAACATTTCAATTATATTTTTTGTGAATCTTTGGTATGCAGTGTTGCATTTACTAGCTTTAATTGCTTTATACTGCTATATTGGACGAGTATGCCCTTCAGCTTTTCCTGGTTTGTTTTCTCGTTGATTTTTTCTTTATATATTGATTAAAACTTTCAATCTGAAGGATTGTTATGATTTAAAAAAATTATTGAAGTTAATATTTTCATCAGTGTTATCGGTGTTATTATTATTGTTTTACCGCTATTGTCAATATTTTCGCTGGCAATATTATTACGTCTGTGAACGAAGCCGTTAATATGAACTGTTTCATTGATACCCATGCATATATTTAGGTGGAGGTTTTCAAAAATATTTATGAATGAATTGATAGTTTCAGTAAATAAAGTGTCGCATGTGCAACCACTAAGAATGATGAGCTCTAATTTGATCCAACATATTCCTCTTAATTCCATTCTCTGCAATCCGTTCCTGTTACTTTATTCCATTTTTGCTCCTTTTGACACTTATGTTTTTATTGTAATAATAATAAATATTTTTTTTGGTATCATCAGTGGATTTCTGTTGACTGGTTTATTATTATCATGATGACACCATTATGAATACTGCAGATCAATTTTGTAATTGTTGGCTTACATTCATCAAATGAAAAGTCTAGTCAGTACTTATTATTGTCAGGTATCAGTCAATTCTCGCTACCACATATGTTCAGAACGGCATTCTCAAGATCATCCGGCTCGACGTCAGTTGCGCATATGGTTATCTCTCACGGATCTGAAAGTAATCCTGAATTACAAGTATCCGTTACAGAATTGAATGAAGAAAATCCAGATTATGCAGATCGCAAACGCTATCATCATTCCAAATATTCTGGATCAGCATCAGATATTGCTGATGTTCACGTTCAGTGATGATCATGATTAAACTTTCTATTTTATTATAAATTATAAATTTCACACACACACTCTCTCTCTCTCAATATATATATATACTATCACTTATTATTTGACTGAGAACTACTAACCAAAAATATATTAAATATGGTAATTTTGCATTCATTACTGAAAACTCTTTACATCTGTCTATAAAGGCATATTTTTTAAAATATGTCTTTTGATCTCATTCTTTTTTCCGTTATTTTAATATAAATTCATTACCCAAATATTTGAGTTGTTTAATTTGTTAATCAATATTTGTCGAACTAAACAGCATTTGATTCAAGTGAAAAATTTTTTTAAGTTTTGTGACATATACACATTGTATTATTTTTCTATCTCACTATTTGAAGAAATTCATGGCGGATTTCCCTACTGCTTAATCATTAAAATTTTTTTTTTTTTGAATTGCCTGCATATAAGTGTGTAAGATTAAGCTGAGATGTTTTATCAAGTTTTGTGGAATATATGTATATAATCATTCCATTTCTTGCTTATGTGTGTAAGACTTTCAATAAAAAATTTTCACTTGTTCACCATTGCATGATTACTACTGATCTCTTCTCTTCTAAATACAGAAAAGCAGATTTTAAAGTTATTTTTTCAAGATGAAAGTTACTTTAAAATCGTTGTCTACTTAATACAGGAGTTCATGAAATGATTTTCTCAGTTTTATTGCTTGCTGTAATGATTACATAAATGAAGCATTATGAAGTTGCTAGAGGAATCAATATGCCAAAATGTTAAAATTCCCAAATGTATGACTGTGCAGTGAATATTGCAACTTTTTACGGGCAGTGAATTTATTTGCCATTATTTACTGTTATATGATGCGAACAGTAATTTGAATGTTTGTCGTCATTAAACTGTACTGTAGTGAGTTCTAATTTCTGAGATCAATTTCAATTCTTTCCTGGTTGTGAATTTGATCGTAAAAGTGATGTATGGTTAAGTGACAACCGTTTATTCAGTAAAGATTTGTAGAAATTTATCAATTTGAGTGCATTATAAATATTGATTAAATGGATGATGCAATAAATTTACAGATTAGATGAGATTTTAAAGAAAGTTTTAAAAAATTATGTATTTAAAACTATTAATCAGATACTTCACCTTATAGTGAAAATTTTATATGAGTTATCCAACAATATTGTCACGATAGTAAGCACAAGATTGATGAGATATTTTGATTTCTTCGGATAAAGTATGAATTATTGTTTACTAAGTACAAAGACTTGTCTACTTTATGTAGAAGTTTTCTCAATAAGATTTTTTAGCAGCGTTACGATAATATTACATATTGTGACGCAGCATAATGATATGATGGTACTCTATAAATTATTAGTAACGAGAATGGTAATGATGAGACAAATATCATTTATAATGATGGTGATTAAAAAAATCATTATATCTAGTACTGCTCGTGCTAATGATCATAATTTACAGAGCACTGTTGTCTCAATTATTTTACTCATTATAATCAAACAACAACTGTGAAATGGAAATATATCAGAATATTAGTCTCTTTCGGGTTCGAATATTAAATCATTGGTTTTTAAGTATAATCACATACAATTATAATATGAAGATAACAAAGTAATTTGTGAAGAAAATTTCTAACTTGGAAAAAAAGAATTATGATTCGAATTGTAATAGTGAGATGACAAATTTGTTTACAAACCATAAAAATATGGGCCAAAGTTTTCTTTCGAAGTGTGAAACTTGCTATAATGTTTGTCACTTGTACCAGCACTGATATACCACTTTGTGTCATCATCACTTTTTGTTTGAGCTTCTATTGCTTTTTCTTTGCATCGCTGTTTTCACTGCTGATGAAAAATTTTTGTTAACTTTATGCATAAATCCCATAACTGTTTTATCTTGTGCCAAATCTTTTACTCATAGCTGAAATTATGAAATCATTTTTATTAAGTATTTACACTAAATATTGATAATTGAGTGATAAATTGATGTCCGATCAATTATAATTTCAGTTCCATGTGTGGGCCGAATTACGTTTCATTTCCCAGTAACGGAGTAATTTGCGGATTAACGATGTAAGCTATCTAAACTCACGCTTTTTATTCTTATCGCACTATCGTCCCAATAAACGTCTTCTGGTATCATAATTGCCACTGATTCCTTTCATAATAATCAAAATTTCAATTTTTGATTTTCTGTAATTATGTACAGTAAGCATTATTACAGTTAGTAATAACAGTGCTTTCTACTTTAGCTATAATGTGATTTGCTAGCTAATCAGCAAATCAAATGGATGGGAATCACAATTATTATCATTATCAATAATGTTTTGAAGCAAATTCTTTAGTATTCATTAAACTGTGTTTGCAGATGTCCTGACGAATCGATTTTTCATTATTATTATTGCTGTTACGGATTGTTGGGCGCTTGTTGCTTTTACCTCAGGACATGGGTCATGTGAGTTGCTTTCTAACAATGTAATGTAATAACTAAAAATATCGATCATATTAAGAAGGTAAATAGCATAATTATCTGGAATGTGTTCTGTAGTTTTATCGATGACACGAATGAGGCCGATGATAAAAATATTGTGAATAGTGATATTGTTCGTGAATATGATACCAGTGATAAACTAACAGTTACTAAGATGTTATTAATTACGATACCTTACATAATGATTGTATTTATTTATAACAATGATTAAAAGTATGAAACTATTATAAATAAGTGTAATAACATAATAACGTTGCTGTTGTGGCAACGATTAAGCTATGCAATAAAGTAGCAAATTCCCGCATTTCAGAATTCTACTGGTATTCTTTATTCTCGCATTAGTACTGTGTGGTATAGCTGCTGCTGTCGCAGCCTTTACAAGGACCTACCAACAGCGCTTACAACCTTCTAATGCCACACTTCCTGAACGTGACGTCCACTATTATCCACCACGTGAACATACAGTCTACTTCACTGATCATACTCGAGATCGAAGTCTCTGATCTATCTCTAGCTATAAATTCCATCAGCTATTAAATTTTGTACTGTTTTTACTTTCATTCCTGTAATCAACCACTTATTTTACCATTGCTTGTACAGACGAATTCATGAAAAATTCCGATGTGTTATACTGAAAAGTACTTTTTATTAAGAAATACTTTTCCGCTACGAATTTGATTCACACACTTTTAGTTTTATGTCAGTATTAAGTGCTGTTTTTTTTCTTTCAAATTAACATTTTTATTGGCCAATAATCTTACAAATGATAAACTAAATTGACTAAAAAAGATTTAAAAACTAATTAAATAATTCAAACGACTCGCAGAGATGTTAAAAACATGTTAGAAAACAGCATACATTAGAAAACGCAAAGAAAAAGATTGAAAAATTAGGGCAGCTATCAATTTAATAAGACTCAAAGATATTCGTTGAATGAACTGCAAAATTTTGTATCATTTATGGGCATTTAGTATTAGGGTTGAATTAGAAAAACTGCGATAGGTTTAATTCATTTTAAAAATTATGATTAAACTTGACAATAATTTTTGAAAGTCACATTTTGTGTCTATTCATTCAAAATATTGCAGCAATCTTAAATATCCATTCTACGTGAGATTTTTTCATAGAATATCAAAAAATCACTTTAAAAAAGTAAACGAGAGAGAAACATGACCGAAAAAGACTCCCAAGAATTGCTACAATTCGCCACAATGTGTACCACAGTAAAAATCATCAGCTCGTTAAGTGCAAGTTTAATTTCGTATGTAGTCTTCAATTTCCGCGCTACCGAACAGTAAGCTGTTTTCACTTGGCTATAATATTTTCAAATGATAATTAGTACAAAAGAGGAGTATGAAATAATTATTACGGCATGACGATTTTTTCACTTTTCTTTTTCTTTTTCTTGTTCATCTTTCTTCTGACCAACCATATGCACAACAATCACTGTTTTTTTCTTCTTCTCTGAAATTATTCATTTAAAATAGCAAATTTCATGAAGTTTAAGCCTAACCAAAAACTTTGCATCTCAATTTTTAAACTAGCAGCAAACATGCAACTGTAAGAATAATTGTGTTTTAAACAAAATACTTAGCTACGCTATTCCATAATCAGACATCACTGTGTGCAAAATATGCTTCCCATTCATCTGATGTGTAAAATATGTATAAAACAACTGAATCACTGACTAAACTATATGAACTCTAATTTACAGCTTACGATCAGATGAATAGATGCATCAAGGATGAAAAAAGATCTACTTTTTGCACAGAAACTGTATTCTTATGAACTTATGCATGAATGAATGAATGTATCTTCGTATTTTGACTCTATTTCTAGTTTCTTTTCTGAAGCTAAAAATACTAACTACATAATCATCATGCTGAGAGTACTGCAAACAATTATTCATCAACTAATCACTACATATTTAAGAAGAGTATTGAAAATAATGATCAAGTGCTGGAAAAGTAAAGCAGTGGTGGGAAACTAATTAGGTAAGAGTTGAGAAAGTGACTGTTGATATAAAATATGAGAATCATAAAAATGGATGTACCGGTAACAGATTTTCGAAACTAGAGAAAACTGCTGTTAGCGAAAACAGAAATAAAAGCAAAATCCAGCGGGAAATTCGATTACGTCCACGTTAACGTGTTATGTAACTGTTAATGATTTTGGAAGTATTTGCAGTACCAAAATTAGCTGTTAATTGCAGAGTATGATATAAAAATGGATAAGTATGATAAT